CCCTCGCTGACTCCGCCCTCCCAGTGAGTCTATGGGGGAGTCACTCCTCTCCCCATTTTCCAGAGCGGGAGGCTGAGGCCCAGAGGGTTAAAGCCCTTGACCAAGGGCACATGAGCTAACGTGTGGCACAACGCAGTTAATTCCCCCTACAGTTCCCCGCAGAGCTGGCCGTGGGGTGAGTGGCTTGCGAATTCGTGCAGACTGTGTTAGAGTTATCATAATAAATACAATTTCCATGACAGCAGGGGTCTTGCCCGACTTGTTCAGTGCACATCCCCAGGGCCTGGATAGCGCCTGACACATCGTAGGAACTCAGAGCACTGGCACCAGTCAGGCCTAGGCTTACATCCTGCCCCCGCCACTTACTGGCCACACAGCCCTGAGCGGGTCCCACGGTCTCTCTGAACCTTCATTTCCCCATCTGTCCCACAGGGATGAAATACAGCCTCCCGGCAGGGCTTTTCACAGGATACTGAATGGAGTGTGGCACGTCCTCAGAGGTCTTAGGTATGGAGAGGACAATCAGAACACGCCAGCGTGGGTTCCTCCCCGGCTCCTCACAAAACCTCCTTGAGGGGGCTTTCGTTACCTTCCTGGTGTCGGTGAGCAGAGAGGGGCTCAGAGAGGGCCCAAGGTCACACAGCATGAATGTGGCCAGGCCAAGATTTAGACCGCTTCTATCCTCACCCGGCCGGTGCCTGGCACACGGAGATGCTCCCTGCTTCTTGAATAAATCATGGACCAATGAGCACTAGCCTCCAAGACCCAGGCGGTCCCTACTTCCACTCGCTGCATCACTCAAGACGGGTCCCTGGGTCTGAAACGGGCAATTTGGAGGTGGCTGGGGAGCCAGGGAGAGCACAGGCAGTGCCCACATCCCAATTTTTAAAACTTACTACAGGGATCACAAGCTCACACCCAAAGCACTTTCTCTGAACTTTGGCTTCAACTCATAAGAACCCGGGGGGAGATGCCCAAATCCCTGTTTCCCAGACGGGGAAACTGAGGCTCAGGGGGGTCGGTGACTGGCCCAGCGTCTGGAGAGGAGAATCTAGCCATTCTCCCTTCTGGAAGCACGGCTGCCTCCTTTCTGCGGACCCCCAGAGCACGGCATTTGTCCCGCCATAACAGCTCATGCCACATTCGGAACCATGCTCCGGCCAGTGGGTATGCCCCTCACCAAGAGCTCTGGAGCAGAGGGAGACAGTGTCACCTGCGTCCTCGTCCCCGGGGCCCCACACACAGTGGGTGTCCATAAAGGTGGGCGAATGGGTGTGATGGGATGGAAGGAATGGGGGGTGTGGGCTGTTTAGAGAGGTGCTTGCAAAAGGCAGCCCCAGGCCTGGCGACCGTTTCTGCCTGGGATGCCAACCCCGTCCCATTAGGCTAATCCTGGGCCCCTGAGGACTCGGCGGCCTTGACATATTCAAATGCAAGACTGCAATGCCAAGCTTCAGAGGCAGCCTGGCTGGCAGCTGGAAAGAGAGCTGGCGGCAGAATTAATGGCTTTCAGAGTTTCCTTCTGCACCAGGTTGGAAAATAAGGCACGAGCTGGTGAGTGAAAAAAGCAAGCAGCAGACAGATGTGTTCCGAATGATAAGTGCGCGTTCAAAAGAGACGGGCGAAAATACTCCCTATTACAAACAGGATACAAGTGTAAAGGTCAGTGTGTTCGTGGAGGGGGGGGTGGGGTCCAGAACAGTCCCCACCAGACTGAGGGGGTGGGCCACTTCCAGAGAGGGGACAGGAGCCTGGAGCTGGGGACACAGGTCAAGGGGGCTTTTTAGGCTTTTTCGGGTTCATAGGAGGGTGTGTTTGCATATTATTTGTGTCATTCAAAATTAATTTTGGAAATTCGCACGTGGTCCTGCTCCACATGGCTCTCCCTCCCTCTGGTGTTAGCCTTTGTGACATCAGCAGGCACCCAGTCCCCTCCCCAAGGCAAGGAGAGCTGACCTCCACGTGTTGGAAGTGTCCCCAGTGCCTTCCTTCAGTCCCCACAGCCACACTGCGGGGGGAAGCAAGCTTATGTCCGTTGCACAGCCAAGGAGACCGAGAATCGGACCCCGGGTCACACAGGTAAGCCGTGGTGGAGCCAGGACTGGAACCTAGGTCAACCCAGGGCTCCTTCCATCCACACAGTGCCTCTGCAAACCACGGGGTGGGGGGTGAAATGTGATCTGGGTCAGACGGTCAGCAAGGACAGCCCGCAAGAAGAAGCCATCTGCCCAGGGTGCTCAAGCACGGGGCTTGGCCAGGGTGTAGGGGGAGGAGTCCGCACAGCACGGGTTTCCTGGTGCAAAAGCATCTTGATGTGGGGGGCTATTTTAGTGATGGCTGGAGGGGTACTTGCTCATTCCTTCCCTGCATCACTGCCCAGCCATGGGAGAAGGATGCTTAGGAAATGGCTGCGTTGGGGCATCTGAGTGGCTCAGTCGGTTAAGCGTCCGGCTTCGGCTCAGGTCATGATCTCACGGTTCCTGAGTTCGGGCCCCACGTCAGGCTCTTGCGGGCAGCTCAGAGCCTGGAACCTGCTTCGGATTCTGTGTCTCCCTCTCTCTCTGCCCTTCCTCCATTCACGCTCTGTCTCTGTCTCTGTCTCTCTCTCAAAAATAAACATTAAAACGTTTTAAAAAGAAAACGAAATGACTGCGTAGCCCATAGCAGGCACTCTGTAAATGCTGGGTTACGATCGTTGTTTATTGAGCACTCACTATCTGTTCAGCAAGCACGTTTGCTGTATTAACTCACTTCATTTCCACAGTGGCCTGTGGGGTGGGTGCTGATGTGCGGCTCTTACAGAGAGAAAACCGAGGCGCAAAGAGAGAAAGTTGCTTGCCCAGAGGAATAAAACCGGGAAGCAACTGCCCCAGGCAGATGGGTTTCGGGCTGCCCTCTTGGCCACCGCGTGAAACCGCCTTAGGAAGGCAAGCATCGGCCAGGTCCCACCTCTCCACCTGCCCCCTTAATCCCCGACAATCTCTCTGGCCACCCCAGTGTTCCCAGCAGGGCCAGCAGACTACAGGACAGTTTAGTGGTAGAGAATAAGCACCAGACTGCCACGGACCGCCTGTGTTACCGCCTGGAGTAGCTTAACCTCTCTGGGCGTCGCTTTTCCCACTTGCGAAGTGCAAAAGACCCGTCTCCTAGGTTAATTGTGAGGATGAAATAAACCCATGCTAAGCTGTAAGAACAGGCCCAGGCACACAGCCCTCAGTACGTGTTAGCTATCGCCACCACCATTCCCGTGACCATTGCCGAGCCCCCAGCATCACTCTGACTGGCCATTGCCCCGGTCCCGCCTTTACTGCTCTGAGAGGCAGCGAGGGCCTGGGGTGTCAACAGACCCGAGCCCGGCAGACTGACCGCGGGCCCCGGAGCCCCGTGGGGCCACCTCCTGCAGGAGGAAGGCAGGAGCCCCTCTGTTCCCCGGAGAGGGACCGTCCCAGTGCCTGCCTGTGTCGGCTCCCGATCTGGAAGGTGGCACCACGGTCACGGGTACTCGGTCCACGGCCACACAGCGCGGACTCTGGGCCCCAGCTCGACCACCTGCCCGGCGACACCTCTCTGACCCTCACGAGGGGGCTCTGCTGGGAGCTTCACTGCAGACGGCGGACACGCCACGCGCTCTGTCCGCGCGCGGTCCGCTGCTGAGCGCGCACGCCCGCCCCCAGCACCCACCTGTGAGGATCGACAGCCTGCGCATGGCAGGGAAGGGGTGGTTGCCGGACGTGTCCAGGATGTCCAGCTGGTACATGTCGCCCCGGATGTTGTAGACCTTCCGGTGGAAGTCCTCGATGGTGGGCGTGTACTGGTCGTCGAAGCGGCCGTTGAGGAAGCGGGAGACGATGGAGCTTTTGCCCACCCGCGAGGCGCCCAGCACCACCATGCGGTACGAGTTCTTGGCGGGCACGCTGAGCGTGCAGTTCCCGCTGGACAGGGTCTTCATCATGGCTCGGGACTGCGGCACAGAGCGGGGAGCAGGTGTCAGGAGGCCCTGGACCCGGCCTTGCAGCCTCTTGCTGGCGGCCTTGGCCTCCTCTGCGCGGCTCCTGTCTGGGCGTCCGTCTTCTGTCTGCAAGACGGGGGCGTTAGACTCGGGCGTCTCTAAGGGGCCTAGCAGCTCTGCCCGCTCGTTCGTTCGTGCCCTCTGAGGCCTCCTTCCTCCTCATTCACCCCCCTCACGCGTGCCCTCGGTCGCCCTTGCGGCCGTTCACCCTTTGTTGACTCCGGCCCGGAACCGCTGGGGCCTGATTCCTCACTTTACCACCCGTTCGCTATTGCTCGTGGGCAAGGAGCTTAAGTTCCCTGGGAGTTACTTTTTCCCAGCTGTAAAAGGGACTCCGCTCACAGGGCTGTGGCCCGCGCTGAGGTGGCAAAATGTTAAGTAACTCCTGCTAGAACCTGACCTCTCCCTGGTCCTTCCGTCCTTTTCCAACTCGGGCCTCCCAGGAGCTGTGACTCCAGGGCACGACCTGGAGTTGGCGCTAGAGAGCATTTCTTGGGCCCGGCGGGCTGTGGCCTTTCAGCCTTCCCAGAAACGGGGAAAGGCCGTGTCCAGACCACATCCTCCCCACCCACCCAGGGCCCAGCGATTTCACCCCCAGCCCCTGGGAATTTGCTTACTGCCAGGAGACCCAGAGATCTAGACTAGGGGACGTGGGCCAGAGAAACGACCCAGGAACAGCTCAAGTGCCTCAGAGCTCCAAGGGCTACCCAGAACTTTCTATGGGAGCTTCCTGGGCTTGTGGAAGAGGCTGAACTGGATCCCAGCTCCAAAGCCCAAATGGAACATAAATAAGCCCCCAGAGGCCAGTCCCGGCCCCGCCACCCTCCTTTCCTATGTCAGCACCCACCAGAATCCCCTTAGAATCCCCGAGCCCATCGCTCTGTTGGAGCTCTGCTGAGATCTGCCTCCAATTCTTAGCTCGTGCTAGTCCCTCTGCCAGAACACTCTCTTCTCTTTATGTTTCAGGGCCTGGCTCAAATATCACCTCCTCTCAGAAGGCTTTTCGCTCCCTGCCTCACCCCAGCAGGAATCCCTCCCCTCTCTAGGAACTAGAAGTGGATACAGGCCTGCTGGAGTAGCGATCCCTTCTGCCCTCAGCCGCTGCCATGCACGGTTGTGCAGGCTGGGCACTGCACAAGGCACCCAGCTGTGAGGGAAAGGGGAGGGCTGTCTTTGTGGAGTTCATCTGCCCAGAGGAGGCACCTTTTCTCCATGTGCACAGGGAGCTGTACATGCTATCTACAGCTGGTCCCCCCCCACCTTCCGGCTGCCCCAGCGCAGTAGCCTAGAATGCCGCACCCACTTACCCGAAGGCTCTCTCCAACCTCATAATGTTCTACGTCTGCCATTATGCTAAGAGACTGGAGGTGGAGAGATCCCCTGGCAAACGTCCTGTGCAGGGCATTCAGGCACCTGTATCCGCTCGCCCTGCCCCACTGAGAGCCACTGTGCAGTAAACCAGCTCTCAAAAGGATCTTTTTAAAAAGCTCTTATTGGCAGTGTTTGTCAATCTCTGCGGCATACGCATTCCCACCACGGCCAATTCCAAGCTACCAAGAGGACCTCGATGAATGAATCGCAAAGAGGTGCACACACAATAACCCCACTCAGCACACCGCTGACCCTGAGCCTGGAGCTGTGACCATCACCATTAGCCCAGCCCCTGCCGTGTGCCAAGTACTGTGCTAAGTACAGGACAATCAGGGTAGCTGACATTTACCGCGCAGTCAACAGAGGCCACAGCGTTCTAAGTGCTGAGCGTGGAATAAGTCGTTCCATCCCTCGGGAACCCCAGAAGGTAGGTGGTGTTACCCCAGTTTACAGAGGAAGTTACTGAGGCACAGAGAAGTTTAGTTAACTTGTTCATGGTCACACAGCCAGTAACCAGCAAAGAGAGATCTGACCCCAGGCGGTGTGCCCCACGCGATGGCGTCTCCTCACCACCTGCCGACGGGGAAGAGATCACCTGCCCATTTCACAAATAAGGACCCTGAAGCTTAAAGGTCTACATGAATGGGCTCTGTAGTTCATAAGGGAGCCAGGACAGTGACTCCGAGGCGAAGATCCCCACATCCCCCTCCCCCCAATTCACGCCCGCGGCCCTCTTTCCATTTATCCCACGGGATTCCGGTGCCATGTCCACAGCAAGTGCTCAATAAATGAGCCATGAATGAATGAAGCAAGTGGGTCTGCCTCTGGAGCTCACCCGAAACCTCCTTCTGAGGCCTTCTCCCTCTTCCTCCTCCCACCTGGCTGGCCCAGGTGCGGTGCTGAGGAGGGTCTCGGTGCCCCGGGCACACCCATGGGCGCGCGGTGGGGACAGGGAGGCCGCAAGACCAAGAGCAGTGAAGGCTTCTCCGTGTCCTCTGGGGCTGGCAAGGCAGCCTGGGCCTTCAGAGATGGGGGGAAAGAGGCCCCACGCCTCTTTTCCACGACAGCCCCCTCCCCAGCCCCTCTGCGGGGAACTTGACTCTGCTGGTGATCACCTCTGTTTAGGCAGACAGGGAAGGAGGCCAGCAGCCCCCAGGGACAATGTTGGTCTCCATCACCGCCTACCCAGCCTCTAGCCCCGGGGGCTCCTGGTACAGATGTGCGCATATCAGTGCCTGGATGGGCCTGAAGTCAGAGAGAAGAGGCAGAGAGTCAGGGAGGAGACAAGGCAACAGAAAGAGGCAAAGAGAGAGGGAAACACGGCTTTCTTCTCCGAGAGGAGACTGTGACTCTTCACATGGCCTCAGCCACGTGGGGCTGTGTGAGGCACCCAGACACCTGGACGCCAGGTGACAGCGATTCCGTGGGCTCCACCTCCCGCCCCCGCATCCTCCCTCCCTCTCCTGCCCCAGAGGAGGCACTGTGGGCAGCTGTGGGCCTGGCTTCTCTCCTCCCTGCACCCTCAGCCGGGGCCGCCCAGTGAGAAGCAGGTGGGCATCCGAGATCAAAGGGCCCTTCCAGAATTTAGAGCCCAACCCTGGAGGCTCAGAGAGTGGTCAATGGGGACCGCTAGCAGCACAAGGACCCAAATGCAAGTTCTGGGTCACTCAGCTGACCCCAGCCCGGGGCCATTCGAAGGGCACCCAGCGGGGGGGG